GGCACACTATTAAGAACTTAAGGCTTCATCAAGGTTTGGAGCTACTTTCCAGTGCCATCTTCCCATGCTGGAGAAAAGACACCTTTTCATGATGCAAAACTACTCCACATTTGAGAGAAAGACCCTCATGCACTGTCAGAGAGGCTGGCCAGCACAGTCCTTTGGAAGATTATTTTAGCATTAGGAATCACAATCCTTTACAGTGGGCATAGCTCAACCTAGTGATTTGACTTTTAGGAATTTACCATAAGAAATCCATCAGCACCATTTGGGAAGCTTTGTGCAAAAGGAACTGTTAAGGACAAAAGTTAGAAATAACCTAAAAAACATGGGACAGGTTAAACTACTCTCGAATTCAGGTGAGGCAGCTCACCCCTTAGAAAAACCAATGCCTGGGAAATGAATATTAGGGAGAAAGAAAATAGACTTTATTAAGGACACCAGTAACTGGGAAGGAGGCAGGCGTTTCAGTGTCTCAAATACCACTTTCCTGATCTCTGGGGATGTAAAGGTATTTAAATGAGAAGGAGGTGAGGGCTTCCTGTTAAAGTGGGCATTTGCCAAGCGCTGGACTCACCCTGGCACCCACCAGGCAGGGAGATCATCACGTGATCAGGTAGCCGTCTTAGCTCAAGGGCAGGACATTTCCATTTTGGATCAGTTCTTACAGCCAGCAGCAGGTAGTTGGAATTAGCTCAGAAAAAGTAGACAAATTCACAGGGATGCAAGGGAAAGGCTGCCCTCTGAGCATGAGTAAGAGAACCAGATCAGAGCAAGACCTTTAAGCCTGAGAACCATTCAGCATGTTAGCTTCGATCAGAGGTGTCACCTGTAGGAAAACTAGTCAGAAACTAACAATATGTCATCCGGCTGCTTGACCTCCGTAAGCAGTGACTTTTACTGTTAATTAAAAGCAAGTGAAACTAGACGATTTACTTAGGTTTTTTCCTCGATTATAAAACAGAATTGTGTTTAAGCAAGAGAATACTATTTAGTCCTATGTAGTCATTAAGAATCATAGATTGAAGATTATATAGTGATATATAAAAATGTTCATGATCTAATTTTAAGTAGAAAGAACATGATACAAAACAGTCTGTAATGTAATCCCAATTTTCTAAAAAAAAAAAAGAAAGAAAAGAAAAGGAAAGGGTGTGTGAGAGACCGAGAGAACAAAAGTGATCCTTCTGAGAGTAAGTTTAAATGAGAAACTGGAGACTCTAATAATTCCCATCAGAGGCATGTAATTGCACAGGCAATTTGCATGGGAAGAAGGAAGAGGTCTCCAGAAAGCAATTTGGAAGGAAAAAGCACTAAGGCTAGAAACAATATATTGAGGTCAATCTATAGCATAGACCCTGGGCAAGGCAGAGCTTTCTTACAGAGGGTTCAGGGTACCTCGACGGGACAGAGGATGCTCTGTAGATACTGAAAAGCACCCCTGTGGCTTCCCAGGAACCTGGGCTTGAGAGCACTCGAGTGAAGAACAGCTCTAAGCCCACACAGTGGTGGAAGTACTGGGCAGAGCTTTCTTGCTTGCAGCTGCAGGTTCCAGTAACTAAAAGTCTGACTTGGTGTATGGATGTCTGGGGGTATGGGGAGACAAAACTAGTAGTTGTTATTTTTAAACCATCCCTGAATTCTTTCTGTTGCTTGTGCCTCTGCCCTTCCCACACACCCATTACACCTTCGCACCAGGTTCCATCCTGCCTCCCACTGTGCATGTAAATGGAAACCCTGACTTTGGAGTGTCCTGTCACCCAGGGCACAAGAAGAACCTGGGGCAACCCTGGGCCCGATCTGGGTGTTTCTTATCCACCCAGAATGCTGTCCCTGGCCAGCAAGCTCTGGCTGGTTGGGCCTCCAGGCTCTTCATGCTTTTTGCACTGAGAAAAATCACCTTACTTTGTTGACTTTGCCATTGCCAACCCCAAGGGGAAACAGAATCGTGTTATAATCTGTGAGATGGCCCATTGCACTGCATGGCAGAGGCCCAGGATACCTGTTTGCCCTGCCGCAAGAGTGCCCTTTGTAGCATTTTGCATAGGCATTAGATTTAATCCCCTAAATCAACACTGGGTTTGTTTACTTATGAAGAGAATGAGGCTTATCAGAATGTACAGGGCTGAGGACAGTTTACCTTAGGGGTGCCCTGGAGGGTTAGTGTGGGGAAAAGGTACCAAGGGTACTTCTGGACACTGGTAATGCTGTCTGTGTCTTAGCCCAGGTGCTGGTAGCAAGGATTTCACTGAGGAGCATTTATCAAGCTTTTCCTAGGGTTTATACTTTCCTGCCACCCTGCTCCCTGCCTGGACTCCATCTGCCACACACTCCTCATGCCTGCTCCCCCACACCCTACACTGCCCTGGGAAGCCTCTCATGACACCCTTTCCCTCAACTAGTGGGGCTGAGTTTTCCCTGCTTTGGAGTTTCACTGAAACTGCCAGCCCTGAGCCCAGCGAGACCCTCCCAGAGTTTTTTGGTCATTGGTTGTTTTTGCCTGTGTCTTGGTGCTCTAAGTAACAGGTCTTCTGTGTCCACCAGAGTTACTGCCAGATGTCTGAGCCCAGAACAATGCCTGATACTGGGAAGTTGTTTGTAAAAGAACAATGGAGGAGAGGAGAGGGAGGCAGGTAACAGGGGGGTGGGGTTCTGGGAGAACAAGAGAAGGAGGAGGAAGAGAAGGAGGAGGAGGAAGAGGAGAAGGAGGAGAAAGAGGAGGAGAAGGAAGGAGGAAGAAAAGAAGAAAATGGAGGAGGAGGAGGAGGAGGAGGAAGAGAGGAGGAGGAGTCTTGCCCCTGAACTCAAGTTCTGGGTATTCTAAGGCCCACCTAGAGGTAGGGACAGGGAGGACCCAGGGGTTATTTCCTGGAGTGAGTAAAGTCTGCTGAGAAAGAAGCCTGTCTGAGGGAAGGGAGGTTGTTTCAGGGACTGTGGTCGGCCTTCTCAGGTGAGGGTGGGACTTCTGAACCTGCGGTCTCCAGTTCATACAAGGATGAGTTATTTCACTGTCATTTCCATAGGACCCAGAGGCAGAGATGTCAGCTGTGTGGGTGCAGGGAGCCACCAGAAGGCATGGCCTGGCACCGCAGAGGAAGCCTGGATGTGGCCAGGGTGCTGAGGTGATGACAATGGCTTCTGGATCAGCACTTGAGGAATGGTCCCATTGGGTGGCCATACCCTATCTGTGTGTTGCCTAGACAGGAAGTGATGGTGGAGGCCTCCTGCATAGGGAAGTAGACCAAGCCTCGGAGAGCCAGGACAGCCTGGGTGGATCTGGTGCTGGAACCAAAGAGTGGCATTTCAGAGCAGCTTGTAAAGAGAGGGCCATGCTGCAGTTCTTCCCTAGGAGACGTCCAGCTGAGAACCTGTTGTTAGGAGTCACCCAGTCTCTAGCCCCAGGCTGGCCTCTTCTGGAAAGCACAGATCATCAATAGGTTTTGAAGACCACACATGAAGGGGGAGAAGAACACTAAAGGGCTGAAGAAGTCAAAAAAGCAAATAGTCTCTTGGGCTTGCAAACTGCTCTCCCTCACAGCACTCACTTGGGCCTTTCTTATAGTACAATTATCCCTAAAGTGACCTGCCTGTCTTCCAGCCCCAAACTCTACACCAAGAGACTTTTGTTTCCCTTTGTGCTTAGTACTCCTCAAATCTACTCTAGGGACAGTGGCTCCTGCTCTTGGGGAAAACTATAGTGTGATATGGCAGTACTCAAGGCCACCATATGGGGGCCAGAAACCTTTCCCTTGAGGCACTGGGATAATATAGGCCCATGTGGGTGTGGTTCCATAAAGCATTCTCTCACTATTTGAAATGATAGCTGTCAAACATTGGTGATTAGATACACTCTCAGTAGAATTATTTTGGGAGTGCACCACAAACATATACATTCCCACTAACCGTATCTATCTAACAGTGTGCACACTGATTAGTGTATTTATACTGGGAGTCTTAACAGAGTGTGATCCCAGGTGCCCCGCTAAGCAAGCATCAGGCAGAGGACAGGCATCAGAAGCCTCTCTGGACAGATTAGTAAACTAACGCTCAGAGAAGAAGGAGCTTGCCCAGATCATGAAGCCAGAACTTGTAGAACCAGAGCTAAGACCACTTCCATTCAAATCCTTACTCCCCACCCTCACCCACCATGTTTCTCCAAGCCACTTCTCATGGGTGCTTGGATTCTTCTTTCCATGTTCCACTTCCCATCTCTTCTTACCCTCCCAGTTTGGATCTCGACCATTCATAGAATAGATGATGATTTCTCCATGTTTCCTGTTTTATTGGTTGTATCGTTAGCTCCTATCACAGAGGGTAAAGCGTGTTCTTAGGGTTCTAGACTCAGCAAACATGGGACTGGCCTGCCTCAGCTGATTTTTCCCCCAACCCATTAAACTGGAATGATGCAGACTCCATCCCAGGTCACACCATGCCCGATGTTGATCTGTTCTGAAATTTATTTGTAAACAGAAGATGCTAATTCAGAAGTAGAAAAAGTGTAGCATAGGACTTGCCTTGAGTGGCCACGCTTGATGGAGAAGACGTGGCAGTGTGTTTCCAGAGAGGAAGGAGACATGAAGGAAGGTTCTACCCTGACTATTCTCTTAGCACTTCCTCTATGCTTCTGGAAAGGTATTGCAAAAACATAAATTCCCTGAAGCAGAATACAGATGAAGAAATGGACACATCTGGAAACAATGGAAACCACAGCCAATGCAGCTGAGCAATCAGCAGCTGAGGGTATCCAGGAGACAAGTGAGACCACGAAGGGGTTGTGCTGGGATGGTGGGTCTGGGAGCTCTCACTGTTAAAAGCCAGGACCTTTTCACATTCTTATATTCTCATATTCTCTCCCACCCCTCCTCCCCAGCTCTCCTGCCAGGGCCAAGCACTGAGGTCACTGTTTAACTAAGGTGGAGTCCCTGCACCTGGTGTGCCATATATAAGGAAGAGCCGGAGGGGTAGAAGCCAGCTCCTGCTGGCGCTGTGTTGGTCTCACAGTCCTCCGAAGAGCCTGTGCTGTCCTCCACCAGCCCTTCTGCACCTTTCCATCCTGCAGACTCTTGGTGCCGACTCTGTGGGACAGCCCAGTCCCCACTTAGCCTCCTGCAAGAGCACTGCTGAGCGCCGCTCCATCATTGTTACCTGAGCAGGACCCAGGTAAGGTGAGAGTGAGTGCAGGTCTTTCTGGGCTCAGGAGTGAGCCAGCACTCCTGACATGAGTGACCTCCTGAATTTCCAGGGAGCTGCTTGAGAAGGCAGATTTTGCGTTCCCACCACAGAGGTACTATTTGGTAGTTCTGTAAACTGGCTATTTCTTCTTCCAGTGGTCCAAGGACATGCTTTAAGAAAAACAAAGGAAAAGATAAGTTTGACTTCTAGGAGAAACCTATTACATTTTACCTAATTCATGCAAATAGAGGGTTTTGCAGTTATTGAATCATGGCTTTCTGCTCAAAGTTGAAATCTTGAGACCATGATTGACCACAGGGGATTCGCTGGTGGCACAAATTATGTCTCCTGTGCTCGCTGATGTCAATCAGATGCATAGTAGGTACTCTTAGAACATTGCTAAAAGGCAGAAATGAGCCCAGGCCCTCTGTTTTCTAACACTTTAGTGTCCTGATTTCATACATGAATAAGGGTGAAAAATCTGGACTAATCCCAAAAGGCAGATTGCTGCCACTTCTGAAACTCAGATGTTCCTGCAGCTCTTTAGCTATGCCACTGTCATGTACTGAGCGTAGCTCTGCGCCTACTCACGTTGGGTCATGTTGGAGATGCAATGCTGTTCTCAGGGAGGCAGTTTAGCCATTTAGTTTGAAAGCAAGCTAACCAGATTTGAGCAAGTGCAGGTATCTTCCACCATGGTTACAGTGGAGTCACTGTCCTGGGTCCCAGGCAGGACTTTGCTCACACCCAGCAGGCACTCACTGGGTCTCCCATCAGCCTTCCCTTTTGAATGCCCCACCTTGTACTCAGCTTGACCTTCTTGCTTGTGGAGGGAGGGAGAGTGTGTGAGAGCCACAGGAAGTCCGCTGCTCAGTACCTTGGTTGATGAGAATATAATGGCCGACCAATTGCATAGTAGTTAACAGTAATATGTCGCTCAACCATATTACATGTCTCATTTGCATATGGAAAAAGCAACTTGCTGTTAAGCTCACACCAGACACAACTGTGGCAGAGCTAGAGTTTTACTGCACATCATTTGGCCCCACCCCATTACTTTGTTAGATTTCATGACCGACTTAGAAGAACATCCTAGAAGAAAAAGTGTTATCAGGGAATACACAAATTAATGGCCTACCTACTGGCATTGAGGATGTACTCTGTTCTTTGTGTTACCCTATGCATTATTCATGTGACACTTAGCATGGTATTTTACCTCACTGGGTCCCCATTTCCTCATCACTAACATGTGGCAGTCAATTGCAAGGGTTCAAGGATGTAGTATGCAAAGCATGCAGTGGTGGCTGGCACATGATAAGTGCTCAAAAAGTTGCAGTCATTACTTTAGACTGGCTTCCCTATAAAGGACAACCTGAAGCCAAGTGTAAGGGCTACTGCACAGGTTTATTGGGAGGTGCAATCCCTGAGCAGAGAGAGAGGGACTGGAAAATGAACAGAGGAAGATGGGAAGCAACACAGGTCAAGAGGGCCCTTTGGCCCTCTTGATAGCCACTGAGAAAGCCAGGCCCTCCCCCTCAAAGTCTAGCACCTTATCTGAGACCAGAAAGAGTTGGCAGAGCCACTTTCTTGGCTTGGGTAGAAAGAATACTGAGAGACTAAAAAAGGCTAAAAGAACCCAAGACAGTACAGAAAACAGGCTCAGTAAAGTTGGGCTTCTCATTGTCTATGTTTTCTGAGACACTGGTATGTCCTGGTGATACCTCTTTCTCTCATGAGAAAACCATAGAGTATCTTCAAGTCCGATGCTCCAGCCCATTTCCTCAGGGCTGGTAGGAAGTCCGCATGCTTCCTAAAGCTCCCAGACTTTGTGCAATGGCTCATGCCCCTCTCTGTACAGAAGCCCAAAGCTATACAAAATCCAGGCAAAATATTAGTCACAACAACCCTTGGACTCTGCCTCTTGAACAATGTTTCTTAAAGAATCATGGGCTGAATGAGAATTATGGAGGCTGTTTCTGAGAACTCCTGGACATAACGGTTCCATAATGAGTGTTTGGACTGTTGTTGTCTCCTATTCTCTCCTTCTCAGATGATGGTGATTCAGATTTGCACATAAAGCCTCTTAGAAAACTAACACAAAGCTGGCCAGATAGCTCAGTAGACTAAAGCACCTGCTTAGGCAGATGCAGGGACCAGGGTTCAATCCCTGGCACCACATGCTGTGCCAGTCCTGCCCCCAGGGCACGCTGAGACTGGCCGTGGTGGTGCATGCCTGTAATCCCAGCACTTGGGAGGCTGAAAACAGGAGGATCATTACGAGTCTGTCTGTGTAGTGAGACCCTGTAGTCTCTGCAGATCCTGTACTCAATTAAAAAAAAAAAAAAAGACAAAGCAAAGACATTGGTCGAATTGAGTGCATCTGCCAAGCCCCACCCCAACACACATTAGGAAGCATTGCCTTGTTCTAAGAAGGCTCGATCTCCTTTCAGTCTTCATTCCTGAATTCTCCATGGACTCTATTATATACTTCTTTTTCACTTTGTGTAAATATTTTTGAGTAAAATATTCTGCGATATAATGAGAAGTTGTTCGGTATATGTAAAGTTCACACATTTCCAAAGCTGATTCTCCCAAGAAACAAGCGGGAAAGCTCAGCCAAGCACTGTTTTACCATCTTAGTAAGGAAGACAATTGGACACAGGATCCCTGAGGTGCTCCTGTTGAAATGCAGCTGAAGGTCATTTTACCCAGACTCGGCAGTGCCTCAGTGCCCATCTCTTTGCTTTCATTTGTTTAATGCTGTTTATGAGTTGGATCTGACAAACAGACCCAAATTAGAAAGAGAGGACAGAGGGATGTGAAGCGAGGGCTTGCTCCATTGCGCTCCCGCTGCTGGAGCTGGACATGAGATGAGAGGAAAGGGGTATAAATGATAGCACACGAGAGAACACATATCCTACAGACACATGTATTGATTATATATACATATCCCACTAGATTTTTCCCAGTATACAGTTGGCCCCACATCTGTGGGTTCTGTAGCCTCAGATTCAACCAATCATTGATCAAAAATATTGGAAAAAAATTTCTGCATTGAATACAAACAAAATTTCCATCATTTCCCTTAAACAATATAGCATAACAATTTTTTGTACTGAATTTACATTGCGTTAGACATTATAAGTAATCCGGAGGTGATATAAAATACACAGAAGAATATGCACAAACTATTAATATATCAATATGTATATTGAATTTGCCGTTATATATTGTAAGCATACATTTGCACTTGTATGCCTATGGTATCATACGTGTCTGAAATATATGGTATTTAATTTTTTTAAATGTATGCATAGAAGGGATATTGCCATAAATCCCCCCCAAAATCTTCTCTCTCACTTTGAACACACTGATCCACCATTCTTACACTTGCTGAAGTGGTTCTGGAAGTCCTTTTTCATGAGCATCTTCATAAGGTATGGCCAGAAGTAAGGGCTGCTGTCCAGTGTCACCTGGCAGAAGGACCACCCTGTGAGAACATCCCACAAAGTGTCCTCATCCATCGCATTTGCTGGATCTGGTACAGGGTGGCTCCTGGCTCTTCCGTAAAGTCCAAATGACCCCTGAAGGGAAATATTTTGCATTGATTCAGAATGTTGAGGCAGCGGCGGCGACAGCACCACCAAAGATACTCAGGAAAAAAGGACTTCCAGAACTACTTTAGAAAGTGTTAAGAAAAATGGGACAAATGCCTTCATGCATTAGGGGAGGGTTTAGGGGGTAATAGTGGCAATGTGCTTTTTACTGTAACATGTTAATTAAAATTTAAGCATCCACCATTGTTTCAATCATACCTGGTATAGGAGGGACTTGAACATGCCTGCATTTGGGTGTCCACAGAGGACTGGGAGCCTTGGGAACCCATGGATACTGAGGAAGGCTATGTCCTGGGGCAGAGGTCTGGGGATGGGCTGCTTCTGAGTCTTTATGCCGGGAGAGAGCAGGGCTTTGGTGCTAACATCTCCACTCCACCAAATAAGCCCCAAGGCACCTTTGTTTGCCCTCTTTCCTTCTGGCAGTACTCTGCCCTCGACTACAAGGGCTCACCTCTGCCACACCCACCTCCCAAGCCTGAGGATGTGTGTGCCACCCTGCAGGGAGACCCAGCCATGCCCTATCACACGTGTGGGCTGGAGCCATTGTTCTAAATACTCCAGTGACCTCATCTAAATCCAGTGGCCTCTCAGTGTCCAAGGATGAGGAGCCAATAAGAGCCTAAGCCATAGAGACACATGCCCTGTATCTCTAAGTGAAATGCTGTCTCCTCTCTAGTTTAAACTTGCGTTAGCAGTGGTTGAACACCAGCTGAACCACACTATTAAGCTCTGTCCTGAAGGCACCAGCTTCCTTTCAGGAATCAAAGTTGAGATGTCTTCAGGAGCCGTCACTTGGAAGGAGGAGTCCAGGCCAAAGCTTTCAAATGAGCTGGTTCTGGGACTCTAGTGGCTTGGCATATTCTGTCCACTCAGGGCCCTCCAGTACCACCTTCTCCACACTTAACCCTGACCCTGACCTTGTGGGTTGCCCAGAGTGCCCAGGCGCAGGCTGTATCCCCGAGGTGCCTGGCTCACAGGACCAGGGCTGGCTGCACAGTGATTTCCTGCCCACTGCATGGCAGGCTAAGCAGCACGGGGATGGGATCCCTCGGGGCTCCAGCTGGGGCCACAGCAGCTATGGCTTGAGCCTTCTTAACATCTGGGGGATGAAGAGGGATGTAGCAGCAACACCCTAGGCTGGCAGCATAGTATGGAGTGCCTTCCCCGACGGCGCTTATCCTCCTTGCTCCTGGTCTCCCATGCCTCCGTCCTCCTGCTCCTCCTCCTCCTCCTCCTCCTCCTCCTCCTCCTCGCAGCCCTGTGCCACTGCTGACTCCCCTAGGGTCCTTCCTAGCCGAGGTCCTCTCTGTGGAGTGTCCCTGCCACCTTCTCCATGTGGTCCCTTTGCCTTCACCTGCCTCATCCCTTTTG